GCGAGGCCTTGGCACGACGGCGGCCGCCATGGCCAAGGCGAGCAGACGGCTCGGCTGTTGTTGTCGGGGCCTTCTCCCTCACTCGCCGGAGTCCTCTCTCTCCCTCCCTCTGCTGCACTCTGAATACACAAGGAAGAAGAAGACCCGAGGAGGATGAAGGACACGAGACAGGGTGGGTTTTCCTGGCGCAACAACGCCTGCACGAGCTCGTACTCGTCACACACCACCACAGTTTACAGGCGAGCACCACACGGGTTTTGTACCCTGGGACCGCGGCTAGGCACGACCCGCACGCGTCCACTCCTTCACGTCCATGTTCTGGCCCGCTCTGGCCGCGTCCACCCCGCGCATGCATGCACCCGGTGCGCGCCGAGCCCTCAATAGAACGCCGTGGTGACCCGGTCCAGCTCGCCCTAGTCCTACGGCGCAACATGCGCACGCCCGCACCCTAGCCTACTCACGCACGCACTAGCTACGGGCCCGACACACCCGACGCGGCCAGCGCGCGCCTGCACACGCGCTCGCTGCGCCCGCTCGTCGCCGCGGCTTACAGCGGCCAACACTCTCCCCCTAAGCCGTGGCCTAGAGGACACCGACGTCCTCGACGCCACCGTCCACCCGCAGTGCGCGCTCCGCTGCACCGTCGACGTCGTGGTCGTAGCCGCCATCGCCCTGACGTCGCTGCCGCGCCTGCCACCGTGCCGCCGTGCCCTTCACGCGCAGTCCCCACGTCTCCGCGCTCCCCTCCCGCGCTCCCGCCGCGCACGTACGCGATCTGCGCAACCAGGTCCAGCGCCTCGACGTGGTCCCGACGCGCCCGTCGCGTCCGGTGCGCACCCATAACACACACCGGTCGCGCCCGGCTCGCCGCCGCGTTTATTGCCCTGCACCGCTACGCCGTCAACCGCAGCGCAGCGCCTCCACGGTCGTCGCGCCGAGCCGCCGCGGCCTCTGTGACACCACGCAGGTCCTCCGCGACCTCCTCGTCTCCGCGACCGCCGCTGCTCGTCGCGCGCACGGTATCACGCCACACCACCGTGGACTCGCCGCGCGTTGCCGACTCCACGCGCTCGCCGCGCGCCCGACATCACGCCACACCGCCGTGGACTCGCCGCGCGTTGCCGACGCCACGCGCTCGCCGCGCGCCGTTGCCAAGACCTTCATGTCTGCCGCGCACCGCGGGCACCACGGACGCCGCCGTGCGCCACGGCCGCCCCTCGAATCTGGCTCTGATACCAATTGTTGTTGTCGTGGCCTTCTCCCTCGCTCGCCGGAGTCCTCTCTCTCTCCCTCCCTCTGCTGCACTCTGAAGACACAAGGAAGAAGAAGACCTGAGGAGGAAGGACACGGGACAGGGTGGGTTTTCTGGCGCAACAACGCCTCCACGAGCTCGTACTCGTCACACACCACCACAGTTTACAGGCGAGCACCACACGGGTTTTATACCCTGGACCGTGGCTGGGCACGACCCGCACGCGTCTACTCCTTCACGTCCACGTTCTGGCCCGCTCTGGCCGCGTCCATCCCGCGCATGCATGTGCCCGATGCGCGCCGAGCCCTCAACAGAACGCGGTGGTGACCCGATCCAGCTCGCCCTAGTCCTACGGCGCAACATGCGCACGCCCGCACTCTAGCCTACTCACGCACGCACTAGCTACGGGCCCGACACACCCGACGCGGCCAGCGCGCGCCCGCCACGCGCTCGCTGCGCCCGCTCATCGCCGCGGCTTACAGCGGCCAACATCGGCTAGGAGGGAGGGCGACGCAGGTGGCGGGGCAGAGCGGCGGAGTGCACATGAAGTATTTGACGAAATGCCAGAGAGGAGGAAGAAGATTAATGCTGACAGGTGGGCCCATCCTGTCAGAAAGGCGTTTAGAAGAGACGAATCAGGCACTTTCCCGACATGATAGTTTTTAGTCAAAGATTAGACAAAAAGTGATAGTTTTCGGCATAAATTTATAAAGTGGTAGTTTGTAAGCACGGTTTCACGAAATGTGATAGTTTTTTGTTAAATACTTCATAATGTAAGAAATTTTTTGACACTACACTAGTATTTAAAAATGTCTTACCTGCGGCTATAAATCCAGCGAGTTCACGCGTGCGCTCGTGTTTGTCTAGCTAGTCGACTCGATCAAGCAAGATCGATCAGCTTACTGTTGTGTACTTGCGTGAGTTGTGCGGCCGGAGTACGTACTCGTGCGGCGTACGTAGCTATTTTTGCTAGCTTCCATCAATCGGGAATCTCGTCGTCGTCGGTCTTCGCGTGTCAACGTAAAGTACTTGACGGTGCAGACTGGGCCAACAAGGACAAGCACAGAGAGTAGCTGTTATAGAGAACAAGATTCTTGCGAAGTGGACCCAGCACGAAATACTGATGTCTGGTGTCAGGTCAGCCTGAAGGTTCTCAAGCGGATCAAAAGGTACCGACTTTCCGAAAATTTCATATCGAATCTGCCTTCATTTTTAGTCACACAAATTTATCCGGTGTTATAAAGTGGACCTGCAATTGTCTATGGCTTTTGGCACTTCATAATGAATGTTTAGATATAAGTATCACTAGTAGAAAACATGACTTTGGTTACAGCTCAATATACATATTAGTCCCAGTTGCCTTACGAACCGGGACTAATGTGAGCATTAGTCCCGGTTCGAGTGGCTAAAGGCATTAGTCCTAATTCAAATGAGACCTTTAGTCCCGGTTTGAGACACGAACCGGGACTAAAGGGTGCGATGTCCTTTAGTCTCGGTTCGTATCTCAAACCGGGACTAAAGAGACACGAATCGGGACTAAAGGGTGCGATGCCCTTTAGTCCTGATTTATGTCTCAAACCGGGACTAAAGGGGTTCTTGTCTCAAACTCTTCCCCCCCCCCTCCCAGTGTATCGCCATTTCAGTTTTGAAAAAAAATAAAATAATAAAAACTTCAAAAAATAAAATCCTTTGAGATGTAGTTATATTATTACATCTACTAGTTAGGAAAATTAAAAAATAAATAAATTTGGACATGTTTTGCAAAAAAGTTTTATGAAAAAGTAAAACGGCTATAACTTTTGCATACGATGTCGGAAAAAACGTATAATATATCAAAATGTTCAACATGAAAATTCGCATCCGATTTTGACCGGCATAGGCCGTTTTGCAAATTTTTAGAATTCTCAAATTCTAAAAGGAAAAAAGTTATGCTTAAATTTCAGTTTTTTTTGAATTTTGGTTAAATCTGATCAAACTATGGTCAAACTACTTATTCAATAAGTATTAGTGTTACTAAATAATTATTCAAGAATATTGGTGTTACTAAATAATTATTTCAGTTTTTTTGAATTTTGATCAAATCTGGTCAAACTGTGGTCAAACTACTTATTGAAGAAATATTAATGTTACTCAATAATTATTGTTTTTTAGAATAGTAGTTTCAAATTGAAACAGTGAAACGTGTGACTTCATACTCAAGCTAAACTCTTGAGGGTTAATAGGATTGACATCTTACTATTGTCAGGAAAACAACAAGTGCAGACTTGGAAACGAGAGGAAAATAGAACCCGGAAGTTAAGCGTGCTAAGGTTGGAGTAGTGAGAGGATGGGTGACCGGCCAGGAAGTTAGATGATTTGAAATAATGAGGGGTGATTAGAGATTAGAGGTTAAATTGACCAGTGATGAGGGATGATTAGAGATTAAATTGTAAAATAATTTAGAAATTTGAAAAAAATTAGAAAAATTCAAATAAATAAATAAAAAAAACTCGTAAAATTTCTTTTAGTCCTGGTTGGTGTTACCAACCGGGGAGCTCCAGACAGCGGCCACATGGAAGGCCTTTAGTCCCGGTTTGTTACAGAACCGGGACTAGGAGGAGGGGGTGCCTTTAGTACCGACCATTTAGTCCCGGCTTTTTTCTACTAGTGTACGTTCAACTCAACTACTCTATCTCTCCAAAATAAATGTCTCAACTTTAGTACAATTTGAGACACTTATTTTGAGACCGAGGGAGTATGACACATTGTCCAACATGAATGGACATATCATTGTTCTTTAAGGGCCTTTTAGTTAAGTAAACTATATTGTTCCTGTCATGTTTATATGTTCCATATGCGAATAAGAAATAATAGCTTTTTCGGGTAAATTAGGTGAGATTAGTACGTGGATAATACTTTTTTGGAGTAATACTAATACTAATGCTAATTGAATGAAATAATACTGTACTGTACAATGAATATAGAACAATGCTAATGCGTGTATGGTTTTCTATCACCAGCCGGTGCCTGCTGTCTTTATATAAGTAATAATTAAATTTATCATCCCTCTTCCTGTATCCATTAAGTATGGAACAGACAATAATCCAACTTAGATATAACCCAACATGGGTTAGCGTACACATTAGGCTGGTCGTAATGGTAGTATTATAGTTAGTATCATACATGCCAACTAGGCAATTTTAATAAGGTGTTATAAAATTAAATGAAGAAAGAGAAAGTTGAGGTCATATTATGATACCGTATCATAGTAAATGCTATGCTATTATGTGTCATACATGACAATAAATAAAATACTATACATGATACTAAGATATAATACTATGTATTATGGAGGTAGTATCATACAGTATGATATACATGATACTAGTATATGAAACTCTCCATTACAACGGCCTTAGCAATGTTATATGGGGATTAGACTAGACAGCTCATCCCTACTCCCTCTTTGTCTGTACAGTGGTAAGTTGTTGTAGCCGAGGACCGGAGTAAATAATTAAGTGCAGCGTTGATCCAGTTGGCCTTTGTTTGGTCTTCACCTTGAAAGCTACGCGCTTTCTGGTAGACATCAAGGAATCAGCATTCACACTTGTGAGCGTTTACGTCTACTCAGTAGTCAATCATCACTTGTAATTTAAGGCTATATCAAGCTTGCTTGGTCAGGGCAAGAGGTCTCACTCACCTTCAAACTCTCCATCATCTGCTGCTTCGTGGAGTTTGGTTTGATTTGATACATCATACATCGCCGTCCATGGCGAACTGCTTCCGGAGGCCGTCGACGACGGTGCCTGCGGCTCCTAGGAGCGACGACGAGATCCTCCATCCAGCCAACCTCAGGAGTTTCACCTTTAAGGACCTCAAGAAGGCCACGAGGAACTTCCGGCCGGATAGCATGCTCGGTGAGGGCGGCTTCGGATCAGTGTTCAAAGGGTGGGTTGACGAGGCCTCCTTCGCCCCGGCAAGCCCTGGCACTGGCATGCCCATCGCCATCAAGAAGCTCAACCAGGAAAGCTTCCAGATCCACAAGGAATGGCTGGTCAGTGTTGCTCAGTGCCAATAACTTTTTAACTCGGTACCAACCAATCCCAATCCATTCATGAATTTGTTTCTGAATCTCATGTGCAGGATGAAGCGAGTCACCTAGGCCGATTGTCGCACCCCAATCTGGTAAAGCAGCTAGGGTACTGCCTCGAAGACGAGCAGCACCTGCTCGTCTATGAGTTCATGCCACAAGGAAGCTTGGAGAGCCATCTTTACAGGAGTAATTAACAGTTTACCACATAATCTTCTTCTAGCGTTCCATTGATCAGTTAACACCTCCCAAATTAGTTACTACTGAGGGTGAGATAATAACATGTTTGGGCGAATGATGATGTAGGGGCCTCACATCTCCAGCCACTGTCATGGGATTTGAGGATGAAGGTTGCTCTTGGGGCAGCCAAAGGGCTGGCATTCCTCCACAGCGACAAGGCCAATGTCATCTACGGTGATTTCAAGACGTCAGACATTCTTCTTGATTCGGTATGTTTCTGTTCTTTCATTCTAATTGGATTGGGAAAGTGATTTCTTTTATTAATGCTATTTTTGTCAATTGATGGAATATGGATTGCAGAGCTACAATGCAAAGCTGTCTGATTTTGGGAAGCGAAAGGAAGAACCAACCGTTGATCCGGGCTTTTATATTGATGAATTGCCAAGCTACTATGCAAAAAGGCTGTCTGATCTTGGGTTGTCGACCGGTAATAGAGAGCTTGGAGCTTAGTTTGTTTCTTTAAAGCAATGATCAGCTGCATATGATATATTTACATTCTTTGGTGTTGCTGAAACACTTCTATTCATTTTCTAAAACCCCCAATTTATAGTGTATATTTATATACTAAAAAGGCTATGAAGTTTAAGCATTATAGTTTGCTTCTCAGGGTTGAATGATTTTGTTGCTATGCAGTAGCCAGTAGGTATGGTTGTTATGAAGCACTACGAGAAACAGCGAAGAACGCTATTAATTTTTTGGGTTGGTTGTTGAGGTCTTGAGGAGGTCATATTAGTTAGGTACAGCTCAACTGCTCCAATATTTTTATGGTTTCAGACCTAGCTGGACCACTTGAGCTGGACCCCTTCACCATATGATATATTGGCTATATGCGCTTTAACTTTAGGGAGTAAGAGCCTAGCAGGTGATCGATCCATAAAAGGATCCAGCACAATCTTGCAGCTAGATAAGCACCCATGTACTTTCTACCAGACCGTCAACGGCGGGGAATGAGCAGTGTAGTGCAATCCTCATACAATATTGCTAATGTGTTGCCCTTTATCCAAAAAAATATTGCTAATGTGTACGTTAATCCATGTTGGGTTATATCCAAGCTGGATCATTGTCTGTTCCTCTGCAGTATCTGAGTATGAACTAGTAGCAGTGACACTCCATTTCGTTAGAAAGAATATGAACTACTCCTAGTCCTTTCTGAATCTTTGCTTTGACAGAGGACCCGACGGCAGAGAGCAACGTGTACAGTTTCGGGGTGGTGCTGCTGGAGATACTGGCAGGCAGGCGCCGACTGGACAGGAACCGCCCATCCGGTGAGCAAGACCTGGTGGAGTGGGCGCGACCGCACCTGAGGAGCAAGCGCCAGATCTCCCAAATCCTGGACGCGCGGCTGGGCGGTCAGTACTCCCTCTTCGGCGCACAGAAGGCCGCCGCGCTGGCGCTCAAGTGCCTCTGTTGTAACTTGAGTGTCCGGCCGAGCATGGAGCAGGTGGTTGCGGCACTGGAGCAGCTCCAGGACACCAAGGAGGCCGCAGTGAGTGATCAGGGGAAGGCGAATGGCGGTGGCGCCTGCGGCTTTGTCAGGAAGTTTGGTGGTAGTCGGCAGCTGGAACCGTAGTTGGCGGCGAAGCGGCAGCATCGGGGGTGTCGCTGCTCATCCAATGATGAAGTGTAAAGAGGGAGGCAGAGACGATATTGTCTCTGAATGTGAAATTAGTGCTTCTTGCTTTTGCAAATTCAGGTTTGCCATGGTTTTGCTTCTTTATACAGAAGGGATATGATTAGTGAAGTTTTTTGTTTTGAGGACTCTGCCACCTCGCTGATTGGAAATGAGCTGAAAAGAACTAGTAATATGTAAAATAAAATAAAAATGAATGAATCAATTCATGGAATGGGAACTGAACTGGTTTGTTATCCTGGACACAGGTTGTTTGCTCAGTCAGCATTAAGATTGCTATTTATACAAGAAAGTTAAAAGGTAGTTGGATATACTCACTCCATTCCAAATTGATTGAGGATAACTCTATTTGGACAAAGTCTACAGAAAAAAAAGTGCCAATGTTTGATAACATCTACGGAAATATATTTCATGGCGGATCAAATGAAACTATTTTAATATTGTATATGGTTATATATTTTTCTGTAAACTTTGTCAAAGCTTAGCACTAGAATCAAAGGTAGTGATTTGGTTTGCACACTATGGGAGAGCTAATATGTCCTGATCATGGGCTATTGCCAAGGTTGCAGAATCCATGATGGCCTGCATGGGAGAGCTCCACTTGCATTGAAAAGGCTACCATTCCAAATTGATAAAGGGCAGTCTGGTGCATTGTTACTTGCTTCAGGATGTTTACAAAGATGTGGAGCTGCAGTTCTGTGCTACTCCTATACTAAGTTCTGTGCTACTCATATACTAGTTGAGCACTTGAGCTACAACTTGTCTAAATTTTTTAGCCGTGAAAGCAGCAGGCCAGATAAATAAGGCAGTTCTTAAATCCCCATTGGGAACCTCATTGGGAACCTCAGCCGTGAAAGCACTCACTTGTGTTGTAAGATGATTGGCTGGTTGAGCCAAATATGAGATGTTTCGTCAAAAAATCCCCATTGGGAACCTCTACTGAATCATGAGTGTCTGAACTCTGAAGAAATGTAACTGTAATGATGGTAAAATTACAAAAGATTTAACACTGTCCTATAAACAAATTTGCCAAAAAAAACATTAATTTACAGACCCGTTCGCACTGTGAATTGTTATGATAATGCCACGCTTGCTGCAACATAAATATTACACTTGTGGACAGATAGTTGTTTACCCTGGGACTGGATGCAATATTCAAGTTTTAAGAAAAGAGCATAAGTTGTTTCTCGAACCAACACTAATGTTGACCTAAATTCAAAGAAAGTCAATGAATTAACTTTGTGTCTTAGTAGAAGAGAATTAGCTGACTAATATGTCCCATGAACCAGAATCACGAGGAGGAAGAGCTGATCATCTGAACTTGACGGAGACGGCCGATGACGCCCTGTTTGTGAGCCAAGCCGGTGTCGTTCGCAAGGGGCAATGGTTCAAAGGGAAGAAGAGAGCATGGGATGGCCTAACAACCCAATCTGCCAGCCTTGCTTGTTGGCTTTTGATCGCCGGTTCAAAACACCAGAGTAGCAGCAGCACACGTACGTAACGTAGCCGGGCTAGCTTGCTAGATCGATCAGATCGATCGTCTCTTTGGCGTCGGCGGAACTCTCTTGGCTGGACGTAGCGACAGGAAACAGATTGAGAAACTATTTGGTGATGGCCACAGGTGCCTGTCGCACCTGTTGGATACTTTGTATTGATCTTTTCTTTTTCGTTGATCTCTTCGTTGTGTTACAAGGTCTGGGGTACACGCATATATATATGCTGAACATAGCTACGAGCTAACCAAGTCGGCTACTAACTGGAGTACTACTCGGACGCTAGTACAGAGTACTATTCGGACTAGTACACGATCGTGTTTAGCTCTCACATTCACCCCCCTAAACACGATGTCCTTAATGTGACTTGGATCTCAAATGCGACTGCTACTACTCATAAGCAACATCTTAGGCATTGCATTTGCCATTCTTCGTAGTATTTTAGTGACCGTCTTTGCTGCCGTCGGCTCGTCCGTAGCTTGACGCCAGCGCTCCTCCTTGGTCGTGTCTTCAACCTTTATTTGTTCTTCGGTGCTTGGTAGATTATCTTTCGGATCGTCGAGGGAACATCTTTTGAACCCGTGCGAGATCAAACTTCGGTCTAACTTTGCGTTCCAAGCTCTTGGCGCTTGCTTCAGCCCATAAAGTGTCTTCTTGAGCTTGTAAACTTTCCCTTCTTCGCCTTTCTTCTTGTAGCCGAGGGGTTGTTTCACGTACACTTCTTCTTTGAGGTCGCCGTTGAGGAAAGCGGATTTCACATCCATATGATGAACCTTCCAATCCTCTTGTGCTGCCAAAGCTAGGAGCACTCTCACCGTCTCGATTCGAGCAACCGGTGCAAACACCTCCTCATAGTCAACTCCTTGACGTTGTACGTAGCCCTTTGCAATAAGTCTTGCCTTGTACTTCACAATGACACCCTTCGTGTCCTTCTGCAACTTGTAAACCCATTTCAAACCTATGGCCTTTTGGTTCGGAGGTCGGGTTACCAAAGTCCACGTGCCATTGCTCTCGATCGCCTTCATCTCCTCATCCGTGGCGTGCATCCAACTTGAGCTTTTGCTCGCCTCTACAAGTTCGCCGGCTCCTCAACTCCGAGTAAACACAAATCGGAGTACTCGAGCGTAACTGGCTTTGCGTACTTGTAGACTTTCTTGAGGGTCTTGTAGCGACGAGGCCCGGAAGAATCCGTTGTGGCTTGCGAAGGAGGCGACACAAATTGTGTCGGCATTGATGCACTTGAGGAAGACCGTCGAGTCTCAAGCGTGGTAGATGCCGGATCGTTGGCACCCTCGACGTCGGCGTAGTCATCGTGACCATGACCATCATCTTGATTGTCATCATCACTATGCGCCTCGTTGTCGAGATCGCTGCCCGTGTCGTACGCGTCGTTGTCGCTATCACCTTGCGACCCATGCGCGTCGTCGTTGGTGTCGGCACCATGATGATCACTACCATTGTGGTCACCTTGGTTGTGCATCTTGCCAACCACCTGGACGTCCTCCCCCGCATCATCATCAGTTGGAAATTCAACTGTGAATATGTTACTGTTTGGAGCATCGTCGACTGCTGCGCTCCAATTCCACGCTTGGTTTTCTTCAAACACGATGTCGTGTGAAATCCGTAGACGCTTGGTTTGTGGATCGTAGAAGCGGTATGCCTTGGTGCCGGAACTTCTCTCGTATCCGATGAACACCATCTTGGTGCTACGATCGGCAAGCTTTGAGAGATGTGGCTCCGCCGTCTTCACATGCGCCACACACCCAACCGTCCGTAGATGAGACACATTCAGCTTCCGTCCGTAAATTGCTTCATAGGGAGTCTTGCCGATCACTTCCTTCGTTGGAGCCCGGTTGAGAAGATAGACCGCCGTCGGGATAGCTTCTCCCCAAAAAGTCCCCGGCAAGTTCTTGCTCTTAAGTAAACTTCTCGCCATGTCAACGACGGTTCGATTGCGCCTTTCAACAACCCCGTTCTGCAGCGGCGTATAAGGTGCCGTGAGGAACCTCTTTATGCCAATATTCTCGCAGTAGTCGTTGAAATCGTTTGACGTAAACTCCCCCCCGCGATATGTCCTTAGAGCGCGAACCTTCAGCTTGTGTTCCATCTCCGTTGCAGTCTTCAGCTTCTTAAACGCTTCAAACGCCTCATCTTTAGATCGTAGGAGAACAACCCACATATATCTCGAGTAGTCATCTACCACTAGGAAGAGATACTTCTTTCCTCCGTGAGTTGCTGGGGTGATAGGGCCACATAGATCACCATGGAGCAGCTCGAGTGCATCACTTGCACGATAGGTAGACTGAGCAGGGAACGGCCTGGGTGCTGTTTTCCAACCAAGCACCCATCACATACTCGATCAACATGGTCGATAAACGGCATCCCAGATACCATCTCCACCTTCGACATCTTCTTCAAGGCGTAGAAGTTAACGTGTCCAAATCTAGCATGCCATAACCACGAATCATCATCACTCTTGGCGAGCCAACACTCTGGTTGAGATTGATCAAGGTTGAGAATATAGAGCCTGTTCCGTGTGCGATTAACACAGGCTAGCACGTTTCGGAGGTTGTCGAAGATCGTCATCACTCTGTTCTCAATTTCCACCTTGCATCCATTCTCGTCAAGTTTCCCGACAGAGATGATGTTGTTGCGAAGCCTTGGGATGTAGTATACTCCGGTGAGTATGCGATGTTCTCCTGTGAGACCCTCAAAGAGGACAGAACCTTGCCTGCAAATCTCCACATTTGAACCATCACCAAACTTGACCGAGCCTTGAACATCATATTCCAGCTCGAGGAACTTCTCCTTGCACCCCATCATGTGGTTACTAGCACCTGTGTCTAGATACCACGACACGTTCTGACCCCCGGATAACTTTGGTGTTACCTTTTTCTCATGAAGTAGCACCTTCCGGTTTGGTTTCACAACCGCTGTTTGGACGAGATCACAAACTTCGGCCATCAGAAGACCTGGACGTTTGTCTTCCTGCTTCGCCAAATTTGCCTTGATCTCCCGCTTGTTAGGCTCTGGATAATCCTTTGCAAAGTGACCCATCTCGTTGCAGTTATAGCACTTGACCTCGGACATATCCATGTTTCGTGGCTTCCGCTCTTTATATCGGTCCGCCTTACCATGACCTTGTGGCTTGCCTTTTCCTTTGCCTTTTCCGGTTTGTCCGCCGCGCTTCGCGTTGTTTGAGCCTTCACCATCGTCACGCCTTCCTTTGCTACTTGGGGTCTCCCAATCTGCGCGCGAGTACATGAGTTGGTCACCACCTCCTCCTTTGCCTTTCCGACAGCCACAAGCATTCTCTTCCCATGTCCGCAAGCGTCCAACTGCCTCCGTTATGGTCATGTAGTCGATGTCGTAAAGCTGCTCGAGCGTGCCAATGATGTACGTGAATTTATCAGTCACTAAGCTGAAAAACTTCTCCACAATCTCGGTCTCCTCGAGCTTTGCACCAAGCGCGCGGATCTCTCCAACCAATGTAGTCACACGCATGGCATAGTCGTTCACCGATTCAGTTTCCTCCATCTGCAACTTGTGAAATTGGCGCTTCAGCACTTGTGCCCGAGCCTTCGTGACGCGATCTTCTCCGATCCTCATCTCTT